TTACATCTTGACCTATCGAGGCTTGACAGAAGAAGGAATGCAATGGTTTAACCGTATACGTCAATTAAACATTAGATCAGGTACTATTCCTCCCTGGAGCCAATAAATTCGGAGACAGTCACATGTAGAAAGGGACATTCCATTACTTTTGAATCCTTTTCATCACTTTTTATATAAATCATATTGGATGTGCCTGTGGTACGTAACAGTTGTGTTGGCAATAACTACTTTTGTAGCGATTTTACATTTTTGATTGTTACGTTATGTCCTATAATCGATGAATTATCGGAATCCGATTGCGTCTTGAACATATATAAGGTCGAAATGGTCCAATACGGATGCTGTAACATTCCTCTTCATGTTGTATATGTGGCTTTAGTTGCGGTAAAGTTGCTATAAATGTGTGTCACAATTAGATGAATATAATTTAACGTTGCTACCTGGCAACTACACTACCAAGGGAGCATCTCAATCATTCCAACGATATAGAATTTGACAATTTTAATCACTAAACGTAATGACATTCACCTGCACCACAACTGATAACCTATTAACAGTAATGTTATTTGAAAATTGCATCTGGTAATTTTGATAACTGAATGTTGAGTGGGTTTAAACATAAGAACACATCGATTAGATGATCATGAGGAGTAACACATTCAATTTAATTATATGCGCAGTTAAACACGAGCCCAAAGCGTGAGCGTTAAGGCAAGCATGTAATTAAAAGGGTGCCATACCCCATATATATAAGTCATAGATTCCTCTGTTAAACTCTTCACATATGGCGAAATAGTGAAAAATATTATTAAAATGGCAAATATTTTGTAAGGCAAAGTGCTGACCAAGATAATAATATTTTGAACGAAAATTAAAACAATGCATTATCATTTCAGAAAATACAGATGGCACATGATGCACTAATTGGTCAAAGAAAAAAATATTCTTGTGACTGAATAATCCATGGGCTTAACAGAAGCTCTTTTATAATATCGAACTCATATTCTAACATGCAAAGTGAGGCTCAGCCAATATCAATATCTATACTCATGAATCGCTACGCTCGCTCGTCCAGATATTGATATCAACTCGTGGATAAGAATGATATCAGTCAAAGTCATAGGATATCCTATACGTCGTTCATTATGGTTCCACAATGAACTGAGTAGTACCATTATTTGTAAGAGAGGGAGACGTCTTCAAAGTGCATGATAGTGTCATGAAAACTGGTCAATGTCAATTTCTAAAGGAGTGACAGTATATTTGAATTGTAATAAATAACCCAGTATGATTCTTACTGGATTTAAAAGCATTCATCCATGTACTAAGCCATCTTGATAATGTACTTGGGCTCCACCCTAGTGCATTATTTGTATGGGTCATCACATGCGCGCATGCTTTTAAATTTCCAATAAAGAATGAGATTCATTATTCTTTAAATATGTGATGGCATCACGTTGCATATTTCATTGTGCGTTTAATTTTGCTTACGAAATAGTAAGCAGCCCCTGTCATGAGCCTGTTATATTATAACATCTATGTATCTTAGATACGTTTTATCTCATATTTATAATCTCGAATTTACTTTTAGATTTTAATTAAGTAGATGCGTTCATGGTACACCGTTAGGTATACTGATATTGAGATGCATGAACGTAATCCAGCTATTGACGTCATTTGCCTGGTGTGAAATTTCATTCTTTGATGAACACATCTTCGAGATCGGATTCATATACTTTATATTAAAAGCCTTTGGCTTATAGCAACAACAGACGTGTACATGAGGAATGTAGAATCAATCTACAATGGCTTATAAAAGAGGCGTTAACGTGTCATTTGAAGTCAATTAATTATATGCTCTATGAAGGTATATCGTGTCTGTTGTTTAATTGTTTTTAATTTACCGGCGTGTTAAGATGTGTGAAAGCTTTCCATTAAAATGACTCCACATTGCTCTTTATCTAAAGATGGCATTACCGCATGGCATCATCACACTTTTGGAACACAAAGCTTCGCTAAATGTCATCCTTCAAAGGACTCCATTTAGGCTTAAATTGATATATATTTAATATCATATATACCCTTGCTGCAAGGGTGCTAAATCTATCCTTTTTATAGTTTTGCTTCCGGGCTTCAAGACAAGCTGAAATAATCTTACATATTTTTTATTTGCACTTTTTGTTGCCAAAGTTTTGGATATGATTTTTTGAATAACTTATCTGTGGGGAGAGGTTGTTGGTATTTTCTAAACAAAGTAGAAAACGTTGAAACTTTACATTTCCCATTTCCATTTGAAAATGATGTTTATGTTTATGTTTCTTTATTTTCCTCCGTGTTGGGGAGAGCATAAAAATGTACATCAAATTAAATTAAATAATATACAAAGGTTAAAAGTATAAAAAGGAGATTCAACATATTTACAGAAGCATGTTCTTCAGATGTACTATTTACATTGTTTAGGATGAGGGTATATTCAAGTATACTCCTCGAGACTCGTGGAATCCTGTGGAACAAACCTGAAGAAACCTTTAATGTCAAAAAGGCTTACGCTACACATTATTATGAATTGCTCAAACATCAAATCATCCAAGAACAAATCTGACCTACTGCCTAGGAGTGTGTGAGTTAGTTTTTCATCGTCGAGGCTAAACAGGTTTACACCCACACTTATAGGCAGATGGTCGATGAGTTTTTCAAAGAAGATGTTCCTATGTATTGAAAAATACTCGCACTGCAAATAATGCACAATGATACGTTCACATAACCTGTGGCAACTGTTACAACGATACATTTTATAACTTGGATCTGTGGCCAGGTTAATGAGGTTACCAAGTGACCACGTGTATTTTGGAAACTTAAGACCTATTTGCCATGCGAAACACGGTTTAATATTTTGATGAATATGTTGAAATATAACAAGGTTTGAGTTTGCTTTGACTCGATTTTTCCACGACTCTTCTTCTTTTAGACGTATTTGGCCTTTTACAATATTTTTGAAAAGCCTTTTTTGAATGATTTGACCGCTTTTTACAAAGCCGTCAACGTATTCCTTGAGAACGTTGTGCTCTGCGACAATACTCATGATATCGCTAACAAAGCCTAGATGGTCAACAGGATGAAGAATGTACGAGGCTAGTCTGTAAAGAAAAATGAATCGTGTAAAGGAATGTTTACAGACACAAAGTCTGTGCCAGAAATTCAATTTCATTATCGTAATAGAATTACAAATTGACGTGGCTCCTAAGGTTGCCAGAACTACATCTGAGGAGACTCGACTTTCAAGCCCTTGTACAGTTTTGAAAATTTTCCTCTGGGTAACGGTCAGGGTGTCCTCATCAGCAGGAGAGAGACACCACATTTCAGCCCCGAAAATGGCACGCGGGAGTATGATCGTGTTCCAAATTTTGGAAAAAATCAGTGGATTTGATCCATTTTTGTGTAGCTTAAGCACATTTTTTAAAGAATAAAATTTTGCATTGAGTTTCTTTTTGGCCGATGCGGCCAGAGGTTTTGAATCGAAATTTGGAGTAACTTCGTTACCAACATATGTGACTTTTCTGGTTTCGTGAACTGACTCAGCTCCAATGTGCCATTTACGCATGCCTTGATTTTTTACAAAATTTCTTTTTGACTCATTAAAAATCACAATATTACTTTTGCTGCCTTTACCTGCATGATAAATCATGCGCCATTTTGCGCTGTAAGAAAGAACAATATCTAGGAGTGCTTGTAAAGCATTTGGGGTTGTCGAAATAAGAGTGGTGTCGTCGGCAACGAGTATACATGGTATATGTCGATCCCCTAGCTGAAGACCAGAATTGGAGTCAATTAGGTCTTTAATTAGGGCGTCGATATAAACCAAAAACCAAAGTGAACTGGTAACTCTACCCTGGCCAACGCCTTGATTAATACAGAATTGTCGAGAGTATGTACCATTGTATAATACCATGGCAGTTGTATCAGTATAACTGTCCACGATGAGTCGCCATGCTTTACCATTAATGCCTAAAGAAAATAGCTTGTAAAAGAGGCCCTTGCGCCACAGAAAATCATATGCCTTGTGGTTGTCCAAAAATGCAGCAAAAACTACACTATTTCTTTCTTTAAAATGAAGGATTATTTCTTTGAGAGCAAAGAAAGCAAATTGGCTGCTACAGCCTACCTGGTACGAAAATTGTAAAAAATGAGGACAACCTTTAGCTAAGAGTTTCGGTGTTGACCTAAGGGTTAAGATGCGTTCCCATAACTTGTACATACAACTGGTTAAAGTGAGGCCTCGATAATTATCAGTAATTGTCGACTGCTTACCCTTACCTTTAAATAAGGAAATGATAATTCCCAACTTAAAGGCCGGTGGAATTTTGGCAATTCTAATCATCGCGTTAAAGATCCTACATAAATAATGAAGAACAATTGTATCACAAAATTTGAAGTGCTCGATAGTAACTAAATCATGCCCTGGAGCTTTGCCGTTGTTGAAAGTGCTCAAGCTATGCGATAATTCGTCAAACGTGATTGGATCCTCAAAAATTCCATCATGCATGCTATGAGACTTTTCTAACATTAATGGGAATTGGTTTTCTATGTAATCATGAAAATTATTGTCAAAGTGATGATGATTAGATTCTTTACCCAAACGTTCATAGTGGTCTACCCAAGCGCCACGGATTAAATCTGGATCGCGAATCATAATACCATCAACTAGTAACTCATGGCCAATATTAAGATTGCATTTAGAATGACCATTGTGATTTTTTACTAATCTATAAAACAAAGCGCTGTCAACTTCGGCTGCATCTTGTAAATCTTTGAGTTGTTTCTGATCGTATTCAAATTTTAATCTTTTTAATTGTCGCGTAAAGGCACGTTTTTGTAATTTGTAATTGCGAAATGAATCAAAGGCAAGGCCACGAGGCCTACCATCACGAATCCAAATGGTTCTCGCCTGTTTCATGGCTTTGTGCAAAGGACCCAGATTGCCTGTCTTCCAATATGGTTTAAGGAATTTACGAAATTTTGACTTGGGAATAACTTTGTTGCTGCACTGTGTTAAAACACTGCTTAGATTAGAGACGGCACTATCAATTTGCTCTATGGAATCTAATGGTACATTTTCATAATGTGAAATATGATCAGTAACCATGTTGGAATATAAGTCGAGTTGCTCGGAATTGGCTTTACGCCATCTGGTAACATTGCGCGAAGTACATGAATCAAGCTTAATATAGGGTAACGTGATGTTGACAACCAGAACAATGGGAAGATGATCAGACACATTCAAGAAATGATCGTCTAAGACGGCACACTCGTTGACTAAGTCAAGTTTACAATTTGGTATAAAAATGTGATCTATACCTGTTTTATGTTTCCCGCAATGACTGGCGTAAGTGAATCGAGGTCCAGAAGTAATATCACGAGAGTTGACAGATACCAAGTTGCAGTCAAAAGCCCAATTCTCGAGGATATTACCTCTGTCATTCGAGACATCACATCGAGGTCCACTAGCGGAACTTAAGTGACCATTGAAATCACCAGAGAAAATGACTAACCCAGAGTCAGCATAGGTGGCGTATAATTCATACAGAGTGTCAATCCATTGTTTAAAAACAGCAATGTCGTGATTAGCTGCCGGTAAATATACTGCAAAGATAAAAATACTATATCCCTCAGAATGAATAAGTTCAATGCCACATATCCTGTCACCGTGTATGATTTTCTTTTTGACAAGCATAGAATTCCTGTATAAAATAGCAACTCCGCCGTAACCGCGACAGTTGCGCTCATTTACTCTGATTGACAAACTTTCGTCGCATATGCCAATTGCCGTGAAATTGAGATCTAATGAATCTAGAAATGAGATGTTATCAGGGCATAGCCAATGTTCGGTTAAAGTGATGATATCGTTTGATTTCAATAAATTCATGAGATATGGGCTACTAGACATGACACCTCTGCAATTCCAGTTTGCAATTTTTAAATGGCTATTCATAAAATAAGGTAAAATTATGCGAGCAGTAAGTAATGCATGGATAAGGAAAACAGTACATGTTAATAAGAGTAATACACTGTACATTGACATTTTAGGTTTAAAATCCTGTGTCGTCGTATCTGTCGAGATATGGGCCATAATATGAATTGTCATCATGATATGCATTGTTGCTATAATCGCCTTCGTGCGCGTTGGTATGCCAGTCATCGTGATGAGGACTAAGTTTGGATTTATCATGCATTGGTTTTGAAACCCATTCTCTACAAACGACATTTCTTGGCCAAAAGTCGTGTTGCAAGGCTTTCTTGAAATCCGAAGCGATGACATTTACTCGGACAAGTAGCCATTCGTTTTCTGATCCAGCTTGTTTACGAGCCATTACTCTGAGCCATGTAACAGTTACACCGCGGGATTCAGCATAACGTGTAAGAGAAGAACGAAGTTGGTCGTAAGGAACGGATTTCACATATGCTAGAGCCAAACGTTTAGTATTACGTCTGTGAGAGATAACACCTTGAAAGTCATCATCAACTGACGCCACCTCATTAAAATAACGAGCCTCATAATTTGCATTAAGATTATCAGCTGATGATGTCTTCGAAGTAGTATTAATGACACTCTTAATAGAAGAGCCTTTGAAATCTGTATTATTAGATTTGGGTTTAGCAGATGAGAGATCAGTTTGACTTACGCGCGCACTAACATTTGAAACAGAACTGGCTTTGTTTCGTGCTCGTTCTGATACTTGTTTATGTGGCCAGGGTAAATTAGTCGGAAATGGCTTTCTAGCACTAGATGTGGATGGCGGGGCAAGTGTAGTACAGGAGATACCAGCATTGTTTGAAGATGTAGAGTCGTCATTGTTGGCGCGTAGGTTACTGTAGCTGCAGAGTGACGTTGTCTGCTCACGGTCTGTAGAAGTGGCATTAGCGCTTACAGCTGCGAGTGATGGGGCAGGAACTGTGGTTGGAATGACAGACGGGGTGACATGCTCCGGCATAGCTGACGTAGCGCTAAGATTACCAGAAGCAGCTGAGGTATGAGTAATTGAAGTAGTAGATGAAGAAGACGAGCATGTAGAGATCAGTGTGTTATCTCCTGCTTTATGTGCATAGGAGTGTTGCGGTTGAACACTAGTGCCAGTGTAAGTTGAAGGTATATCCCAGACTGAGGCATGTTTGGTAACAACTACATCAGTGCGTGAAGGTTCACTATGTGGACGTGATCGTATTGCTGTGGATGAATTGGTGGCACAGTGTTGCGAGCAAGAGGTTAACGAACGTTTTTCCACGTTATGGAGTTTATCTTGAATGGAATTCATACTCTTGATTAGAGATTTCTTCATATCTGAGACTGTTTTGTTAAGGTTTTCTATTTCGATGCTTTGATCTTTAATAGTTTTGTTTGCCAACCTGAGCTCTGATTTGAGCTGCTGTGCTGAATCTTTGGTACGGTTCAGTTCATTTCGGGTAATATCAAGATCATTCTTGATAGCATCAGCTTTTGTTTTGTTAATCTTGGCCATATCCGATTTTATTTCGATCAACTCATTTGTTACTAAGGTTTTTAAATCCATTATGTGCGTGAGGACGGTGAGGGCAGTGTCAGATGAAGTCGTATCGTTAATATTGAGAAATGAAGCTTTTTTTGTAATTGGTTTTCGTGAGGATTTCGAGTTGATCATACTTTTCACATCAGATATGTTGGCAGCACCTTCGATGAACATGAATAGCGTATAAATATCTAATGCTAGTTTATCAGAGACATCACCTTTGTTACTCCGTGATAGTCTACGCACTAAAACGCCAGGCGGCATGGTGTTGCGTTTGTTTATCCGTGCATAGTCGTATAATGCTTCACGAATCGAGAGTAAATCATCAGAACTTTGGACGTCCTTAAGTTTTGCTATGAACAAGGGCTTGGTTAAAGACCCGAAATCGTCCCGTAAATGTTGTAAAATGCCGGCTTCCGTTTGTGTTGCGTAAGGCGTACCAGTATCCTCGGAACCGTCTGAAGCGGAAGATGTTTCATTGTCACTATCCTCTATTTCTATATCGGGATCAACATGGATCGAATGTCGTGGCATGCTTGCGTGGCTTATAGTGACATGAAAGGCGATACGATTTCAGCGACGCATATATCCAGCCACACTGGACAACAACAACAACAACAACTGGCGTGGCCTTGAGTGTGAGTGATGCGTGATGTAAAAACAATATGGCGTCACTAGAATGTGAAAAAGAAGTCCTACCAATATTTCAAATTGTTTATATTCCTCACCATAATGTTGGATTTAATCCACGATGCTATCATAGTGTTCCTTGAGTATTCCGACGATTAAATATCCTGTCGAATACCGGTAGATGAATGTAGAAAACGTATAAATTGATGAAAAAGTAGGAGCACATAAGAAAAACGCCTTCACTAATTTCGATCACGTGATCTTTCCCTAACACTTGCAATCTCAATTCTGACTGAGCTAGGCTCTGTAAACATTTATATTTGAATGAGGGTAGATCAGTGAGTAGTGCGTGTATCTTTACTTGACTGGTGTTTCATCTTTCACAAACCTTTTTCATTCATGCAGATAAAACAAGTAGTTTACCGACTGGAACTTCAAATAACGTCACATATGTGTACCAACGTTTTTTCATATGTCTATTCGATGTTATTTCTTGGCACTTTTTGTCTGAAAAATACCACTGCTGAAATACCAAAGCTGAAGTTGATTCCTCGATGGTGTCCCCCTGGGATGTACAGGGTGTTCAAAAAAACGCAACCCAAGGAAATCGCTATATCTTGGAAAATACTCATCCAATTATGTTCATATTTTCAGGAAAGAAAGAAGAGACTGTGTATGTATAGCCCCTGTTGTTAGTTAGTTGTAAAACATGATGTCTTGGACACTTGCTCAAAAGACAGTTGTACTAGCAAAATACAAAAAACGCGAATGGAAAATCACTATATCTTGGAAAATACTAATTCAATTATGTTCATTTTTTCAGGAAAAGAAAGAAGAGACTGTGTATGTATAGCTCCTGTTGTCAATAAGTTGTAAAACATGATGCCTTGGACACCTGCTCAAATGACAGTTGTTCTAGGAAAATATGAAAATGCAGTCAGAGGTGACTGCCACAGCAATAAAACCAAATAACTTTCTAACCATGGTGTTTTGGCACTTCAGATTTGGCACAAATTATCCTCACTCAATGTGTGGTGAATTTGTGGAGTTTCATCAAAATCACTCCAGGGACTTTACAGTCATGTTCAAAATGCCTTCTTAAGTCTCCCTGAACCAGGGCGTTTGACTGCGATTTGAAAGCATTTCAACCATAACTGTAAAGTCCCTGAAGTGATTTTGATTTCACTCTACAGATGTACCATACAGTGAATGAAGATGATGTGTGCCAAATTTGAAGAGCCAAAACACTATGGTTAGAAAGTTATTTAATTTTTTTGAGGTTGCAGTCACGCCTGACTGTGTTTTTCGTATTTTCCTAGTACAACTGTCTTTTGAGCAGGTGTCCAAGGCATCATGTTTTACAACTAACCATCTACAGGGGCTATACATACACAGTCTCTTCTTTATTTCCGGAAAATATGAATATAATTGAACCAGTATTTTTCAAGATATAGCGATTTCTTTGGGTTGCGTTTTTTTGAACACCCTGTATTTTACAAGCATAAGTATTAAGTTTTTGTTCTAATGGAAAGTAACATTGTCAACCTTATTGAACTACAAAATTTGCGACTGAATGTGTCTCGAAAGTTGATCAAAATATCCATTCATTTAATACAAATTTATAAAAAGGACTTAAAGTGACAATGTGAGGTATTGATATCAGGAAAATAAGAATTCATTGTGAAATAGTAGGATTAAATTAGATTTAAATGCAATTAACTTCGTTGTTTAAATCTATTGACTTATAACAATAGATCAAAACGCCATCCAGGTGTGAAACAGACAATGGTTCACAGGAGAAAATAATTGGATAGAGAATACGAGCAACGGAACTATCAAATAACTCTTAACAACTTCAGCAGTAAGGTTTATTATGCACCTAAAAGCATGGAGCAGGTGTAAACGTGTTAAAAGATTTTGAATATGACATATTGGCAATCAGCTTTTTTGTTTCTTCGTGATATAACGACTCTTTAAGTGATATGCTATTTCGAAACATAGAGTCGTTTGTTTTCTGATCAAAGTTAAATTTTCTAGAGACTATAATTAAAGTGTCAAACATTTCAAACATTTTTAGAAAATCCATGAGGAATTAATAATCTATAAATTCTTACAATAAAGCCTGGCAGAAAAGTTATTAATGGAAATAAAAAGGCAACTTGGTAATTTATGCCTTTTTGGTAAAACCATAAAGCATTACCATTTTAGAAGGACATTCCTTGGTCGAAGGGTGTTACACTTACCCCCTGCAAATTGTAGATGTTTTTGAAAAAGATATTGGGTCAATTTGAAGCAAGTTGAATGTTTTTAAACTCAAATTTCTCAAAAACGGTTCAACTTCTGTCGAGATATAAATTTGGAGGAATGCTTCTAGGAAGTTATAACACTACGCAAGAAATGTCGAAGTACAATAATTGATTTGCAGTCCCGAAGGAACTTTGAGAAACTCTACCCTAATTTACCCTTCCGACCGAACGCGTAAAATATTCTGATTATTCAATCTGATACTCATAGCATCTCTCTCTGTTGCATCTCAGATGCCAGAAGGATAGAGATGGAGAGGGTGGGGCTTACCACGATGTTATATCACTGTCAACATTGCAATTGTATACTTGGTCAAAACCACTAGGGTAACATGTCAGAAAAGATCAGGGACACACTTGTCAGTGAGGGGATGTATCATCCCCGCTCGGGAATTAGCCATCCTAAAATATCTCATCGGGTTCATTTAATTATCATTTACAATTTATCCATATGGAGACATCATGATAAACTACGAATTTTTTTTCGATGTCAATCTTTTCTTAATATGTTAGACTTTCAAAAAAACCAATGTTGATTGTCTAACCAGGTTAAAAGGAAGAATAAATAATGTTTTAGATATCATTGTACCATTGGTTTCTATGAGAACTGAAATTTTAAAATGCATTTTTCTCAGAACCATTTTCATGCACTGATAAGTTCATTTCTCGCTTATTTATGAACTGATTTTCTTAATTTTTTCGGCAAAAAACATGGGAGGATGAATGCTATACATTGGTATGAATTGTGGCTAATTAGAAGATATGAGTGACCTCTAAAAGTTGGTTTTAAATAAATTCACAAATTCTGGAACAAAAAGTCTATCAAAAACCACTTTTTGAAATTAAAAAAAAAAAGTTTCACATATCACACTTTGATAACATTGGGTAAGACTACAATATAAGTCAAAGTGGTTTAAACTTTATATGGGGCCTTTAAACTTCTGTCGAGATATAAATTTGGAGGAATGCTTCTAGGAAGTTATAACACTACGCAAGAAATGTCGAAGTACAATAATTGATTTGCAGTCCCGAAGGAACTTTGAGAAACTCTACCCTACTTTACCCTTTCGACCGAACGCGTAAAATATTCTGATTGTTCAATCTGATACTCATAGCATCTCTCTCTGTTGCATCGCAGATTCCAGAAGGATAGAGATGGAGAGGGCGGGGCTTACCACGATGTTATATCACTGTCAACATTGCAATTGTATACTTGGTCAAAACCACTAAGGTAACATGTCAGAAAAGATCAGGGACACACTTGTCAGTGAGGGGATGTATCATCCCCGCTCGGGAATTAGCCATCCTTAAAATATCTCATCGGGTTCATTTAGTTATCATTTACAATTTATCCATATGGAGACATCATGATAAACTATATGACATCTCATTTCTTCTCAGCCCTGATATGTTTCAGGTGAAACAGAAAGATGCTATGAGTATCAGAATGACATGGCGATATAAGTTCACAAATATGGATTAAACTTATCAAACTATCTCCGATATTGCAGTCTTAAGGACCAATACGCCTTCTTTACATGAATCGAGCCTGGTACATCTTCTGTTGCACCTTGAGCTATTTTTCTGAATGTCCGGAACTGCCTTAATTAAAATTGCTATTTGTAAGATGAAGGGTTTAAAGGTAAAAACGAGACAAGGATCTAGTCTACAAAGAATATCTGAAATTATTATTATTGTAAAAATCGTCTCTACTACTCTTTATATTAGCGATATAATTGCCAAAGGGACAAAGGTCGTAGGCTTTCAAAGAAAAACACTATTGGGATAAGAAACAGAGCCAGCTCACTAAGATAAAATTCGTATTTTTAGAAGCAAATCGACCTTGATTCAGGTGCGAGCCTTACACAATCCAGCCATAACTCCTGGTATATGGCGTATCTCTATGAAGTGAATACAATGTAATATTAAAACAAACAATATACCTACAAACTGTAGTAGATCCTACTAGGATCATAAAATTCATCCAGAATCAATTAATCCCATCTTGCCAATTTACGATATACATGAAGCAATGTAACGTAACCATATAAGACCAGAAGAGCGGTAATACGTACATGATATCATACTAATACTAATCCAAGAAAATAGTGTAATCTAGTCTAGCCCCATTGTTTCGATTATTGAACGTACATTTGAATGGAACGTTTTAAAAACACATTGTTCAAAATAAGGTTAGGTGCATTTGTATAACCTAGCAAACTGGGATATTTTTAGAAAACAAATATTTATAAATCACCAATCATCCGTCCTTCTCTAATGTTTTATAAAGAATGATGAATGTTGTTATACCATTCACTGTTTTAGGGATGAATTAAGTGTAATGGTATGGGACCTGGGAACCAATTTTTCTGGATTTCCTTGTTGTTATGAGAGCAACTAGATATGTCCTTGGAATTATTATCAGATCTTCACGGTAAACTTTGCTTATTTGTCAGATTGCAGGTTGAGTAAATATCTTCCCTTGCTTAAAAATTCATCATTTCCAAGAAGAGGTAGTACAAATTACTTGGGTCAGTCTAGACCTTATCCAGGATAAAGAAAATAGGTTGGTGAATTAGGTGGAATTTCGTGAAAAATCTATATAGTTCAGGTTCTATTTGTGAAAGCATTGCTCATTATCTTGTGTCGTATGGTTTTAAGGAATCCTAACCGCAGTTTCTGCAGATTTTAACACATTTCGTTTGATAGATGAAGTATATCTGGCAGCTTAAATAACATGTCTATGTTTGTTTGTATTTCTTTTACTACTGGATAGCAGATTGTACTTGTGATGTGCTGATGAGATGATGATTGGCTTTGATTGATATGAAAACAGCACAAGTGGATTGCTGGGTTACGGAACTCACACTGATACATTAAAGTTCCTCATTGATTTAGGTATACGTCTACGATGCTATTTTATGGGTACTATGGGGAAAAGATTCCTAAGATTCT